TTCTGTTTTGAGTAGGATGAAGTAATTCTTTGTATAAGCCAATAACGGGATTAGGCATCCAGAAATGGGGGAATGCATCAAGCAAAAAAAAGGTGTATCTGTGTATTTATCGTGAACCAGACTGTGGTTACCAGGTTTGCCAATGTACCAATCAGTTCATCTCCAAGCACATGCTGGGCCCTTGATCAGTGCTGCAGGAATGAATGATAGGATTTCTTCCCTAAGGAACTTAGGGTCTGAGTCCGAGGCAGTGTTCTATGGCATGTGGCATGGCGCTTGGTAGCACAGCCTCAGCTGGCCTGGCCGAACCAGTTTCCGGTGTTTGAGAACCACGGGTCTGAGAAAAAGAAGCTGACTTGCCGTTCGAGACGGCACCTCGTAAACAGCAGCTGAAGCGTGTAGACAGTAAATACCTTCATTACCGACGAGAGGAGATGAACTCTGCCAAAGGCACAGAGAGAGCACAAAATAAGCTTCCTTGGGGTGGAAGAGGAGAGGACGTGAGGACTGTTTGCTTTATGCCCTAGAATTTGGCTTCTTACCATGACTTTCTCCCCTCAGAAGAGCAAAGTATGTGTGGTAGTGGTGGGGCGGGTTATTAGGGAATCAATAGAGAAAAGTAGGTAGACTGTCATCTCCAAAGATTTCAGTCAAATACCCACCCCATGCCTTTTATCTTGGACTCTCTCAGCCTAGCATCTGCCAACTTCCACTCTCCTTGTCCCTTCTCCTTCTTAAAATAGCAGCAGAGGGGGTGCCTGGGTGGCTCAGCCAGTTAAGCATCTGACTTCGGCTCGGGTTGTGATCTCAGTTTGTGGATTCAAGCCCCGTGTCGGGCTCTCTGTCAGCCCGGAGCGCACTTTGGATCCTCTGTCTCCCTCTCTCTCTGCCCCTCCCCCACGCAGCAGACAAGTGATCTTTAATTCACCATGCTTTTGAAAATGCCACTGTCTCGTAAGGAAGGCTTCTGACCACTCCTCACTTTTTGGGAAAGGCAGTGCTGCGGTCCTGAGGAGGCCAGCCAGCTGCTCAGGTGGGTGTTGGAGTGATGCCTTTGACAGAAGTGTATGAGGAGGACTTATGTTTTGGTAAGTTTAAAATCAAAACACAGACGGAGTTCCTTTCTTCATTCATCAGTGTGTGACCAAAAGTCGGGGACCGCGAGGCTCTGTAATCTCTTCGTAGTGATTCCTGTATGCAACTGGGTGCTGTTTCATGATGAAGGTAACAGCGTGCCCACATTTAGGAAACCTCTGCCGTGCGATACTGCAGGGACAGTAGCCCTTGGTCAGCTCTTGCCTTCACGCTTTGGTTGGAAGGCCAGTCCTGGGCACCCTGAGTGTTCCGGGTCGCACCGGGGTATCCCAGATGCTGGCCCCGTGGCCGCCCCCCACTTCCTGATTCTACCCTGCCGCCCCTGCCATTACAACACCAGATGCTAGGACGTGGCTGTAAGGTGGGCCTCCTCAGAGAGGCGGGTCCCACATACCGAGGAGCAGGACAGCCGGTGGCCGTGCACCAGCTGGTGAAGAGGCGGCTTGTTGCAGCTGGCAGCAGGCTGAGGCCTCCACGTGTCACCCACCGTCCCTGTTCATTCCAGTACCGACTGCAAAGAAGATGATTGATAAATATTTGTTGCAGTAACGAAGTACGTTATTTTGTCTAAAAATTTATTAACAGCCCAAATAGCCATCAATACGAAATTACACATTCATAAGAAATTCTATGCAGGCATTAAAAAGAACAAGATTTACCTACAGATACTAATGAAGAAAGGACTCTCCTGTTGTTTAAGTAGGAAAAACAAGTTATAAAACAATAATCCCATTCAGGGAAAAAACAGTTTTACACACACACACACACACACACACACACACGTAGAAAGGCAAGGCAGACCTGTGTCAGAAAAAGTCTAGCGGTATATACACCGAACTGCTGAAGTGTAGTTATTTCTGAGATTGACCTACAGAAGGTTACCGCTCCTTATTTAATTCTGTTGCGTTAGAATTTGTTACAAGATCTATTACGTTCGAAATCAGAAAACAATTTTTTTTAAGAAAAGAATTTCAAAGAAATCTGAATAGCTGACAGAATTTAAAGTTTGGATTCTAAGACTAGGATTTATGAAGATATTTTAAGGTTTTTACGAAGAGGAGGAAAAAATACAGAAAAAAACTTTCTGCTGAAGTTCTTTGTCTATGGTGTTTGCTTCCATCCAGTGCCCTCTCCATCTGCCTGGAAGCCAAAGAGCAGGGAGGGCCACCCAGTGTCCTGCGACTGTAACACCGCACATCCTATAGTTAATTCTGCAAAATAGCTGTTGGTCATTGTAGATAATTCTTAAAATAAAAATTTGCTCTGTAATCACTATGTAGGCTCTTCTGCAACATTCACTTGGTACTTAAAAGGAAAAATCCCCAGCAGCATCTATTGATTTGGCGGTCACATGAATGCAGAACATTTTCTCCAAGATTTTAGCTCTGGGTAGTATTTTCCTTCTTTCTAGCATATCCATACACCTCTGAGAGGGAGTCAAGTGGCCATGGGTTGAGACTCACCCAACTAGGGCAATAAAGAGAAAAATTAGTCTAATGCATGGTCTTAACAAGAGGGGGAGTGTGAGCATGAATAATTAATCTCACTAGTCTGTGGCAATCAGATAAAATGAAGTCCCATTTGCTCAACCTTATTAAAAGAGAGAGAGCGTGGGAGGGAGCGAGCAAGGGAGGGAGAAATGGTAAAGGTCGTTAAGGGACTTTTAACATGGAAAGAACCGCCTCAGAGATGGGTAATGTGTTTTCTAATCTCTGTGGTCTTTAACTAACCCTAATGGTAAAGGTACTCTTTGGATATTCTGATTCATTGAATTATTAAACATTTCAGAAAATACTTGACTCTTTGCTATGAACTTTGATGCCTTTATGATGAATTTGCAGTCTTTCCGGAGAGGGATCAGAGTTCCCTGTGTCACTCAGAGATGACCTATCCACTTGTCAAAAATGAACTAGAAAAAGTAAAGATGGACCCAATACCAGATTTTAATTGTTAGGTTTACCACGGACCTTTGCACTTTCAAGGCCTACCTTCCTACGATGGAAGTGGAACTGTTATAAAAACAAAAAGACATTGAGTCTGACAACTCCACTGAAAGCTCTGTTATGATACAGAAGTGTGGAAATTATGAGAGACCATGAGGTTGCTGTTTGAATTGTTTTTATCCTTCCAGGAATGGATTTTATGCAACTTTTAGGTTACTCACTATAGATAGGTTTGATTACTTCTAATCAATATTACTTGCAAGAAGAACTTCTTTTGGATATTTTAGAATTGTTGAAATTGTGTTCATTTAAAATTGTTGGAATTTTCTCAAACTTACTTTCAACTGCGTGAAAATAAAAATAAAATTTAGCTTGCTCTCTGTAGTCTTTATGATTAGGAAGGCGGTTTAAGTTTTGAAATTGCCTCTTTCCTTTCAGCCTCTTTCAGGTGCTGCTCACAATAGTTAATTAATATTAGTCTTTTTTTTTAAACTGTGAAGCATTTCCAAAGGTTCACTTATTAGAAGTGTGTGTTGATGAAGAGATCGTGGTTTTCAAGGTGGAGACCCACAACCTCCCAGTACTGAAATAAGAATCTGTATCCTGATAATTGGTAATCGTACAGGTTGAGAAGAAAAAGATAGCACATTTCATTTTCATGTGTGTGAGAAGGGAGGAGAATCTATCTACAAAATATTAACATTAAAACTTCTGAGTTCGGGGCGCCTGGGTGGCGCAGTCGGTTAAGCGTCCGACTTCAGCCAGGTCACGATCTCGCGGTCCGGGAGTTCGAGCCCCGCGTCGGGCTCTGGGCTGATGGCTCAGAGCCTGGAGCCTGTTTCCGATTCTGTGTCTCCCTCTCTCTCTGCCCCTCCCCCGTTCATGCTCTGTCTCTCTCTGTCCCAAAAATAAATAAACGTTGAAAAAAAAACTTATAAAAACTTCTGAGTTCAATAAATTTAACCACATGACCAACAGGATAGAATGCATGTTCAGGGAGGGTGTGTGTGTGTATGAGTGTGGGTGAATGAGGAGGCTTTTGAACTGTGAATTTGGGCAAGGGCTGTATCTTCAGTATTAACAACAGTGAATAATGCATAGCAAGCATTTCATGTTAATTCACTGAATTACTAAGATTTTTTGTTTAGTAAAAGACTTAAATATTCTTTAGGAAGATTCCTCATAAATCCTCCTTTTTTTTCTTTTTGCTGGAGAGATAGCACAGAAATGTTCAAATATGATGAATACCTTGTCTAGTGATCAAGGATACCTTATTTGCCTCTATACCTTATAGAACAGAGCCTCCTAAAATTAGCAAGTTGAGAGTGGCTGAAGAGAGAAATGTTTGGGAATGTTCATTACACCAATATGATTATACCAATTATATCAATAAAAAAAAATTTTTTTTAATGTTTGGGAACAAGGCTTTGTGTTTTGGTTTGCAGTTTAACCTAAAGGAATCACTGGTCATGTAGTGATTAAGTGTCCATCTTCCCGGATACTTGTAGTGTTGTTTTTACCTTCCGGGATATGCACAGAGAGAGGGGAAAAACAAAGAGAACACAGGCTGGCTCATCTGCAGACATCAGAAAATCAGAAAGCAGCTTCTCAGCAGTCAGTGACCCTTGTTTTCTCTGCTGCTTTTTCTGCCTTAGGAAATTGGGATACCTCATATCCCCACTTGGCATTTTCTTTTGTGTCCTAGGATTTTGCACCTTGGCCTGAGGAATTCTTGGGATGTTCTTTTGTTTTCTTTTGCGTGTCCTTTTGTCATTCCAATAGCCATATCCCTACACTGTCACTCCTTGGAGAAGGTAAGGACATTAAGCGGCAGATCCTGTCCCTTATAAAAGCAGCTGGGGAGTAATAATGGCCCTGCCCTGAGCAAGGCTGCAGTGAGAAGTGTTGCACGTAGGCCTCCTGTGTGCAGCTGCAAACCCACGCGTCTTCCTTCCTTCCCAGATCCTGGTGTACAGCCTGGAGGCAGAGCGCTGCCTCTCGAAGCTGGGTAACGCGCTCGGGGATTTCACTTGCGTCAACCTCAGAGACAGCCCTCCCAACCTCATGGTCAGTGGCAACATGGACAGGAGGTAAGTCTGAGCGAGGAGCCGCGTCTCGTAGCCACGGGAGCTCCTGCCGAGGCTTTGCCCCTCGGCTCGGCGCCACTGTTCTTGCTCATTCCCTCTGCTGCTCACACCGCTGCGTGCTCGCTCCACAGCCTCGCCTGCCTCAGCTCAGCCCTGATCCTTAAATACCGCCCCTGTGAACGTGGAAAACAAAGTCTTGCATTAGGTAATAGTTGGACAGAGCTGGGTCTCCGCCTCATTTCTGAAACGCTCCGGGAAGGTGGTCTTTTCAGCCATTTGGTGGACACAGTTGGTAGAAGGTCCAGTGAGACCACTTGGAATATCTTTTGTTCCCCTGCTGCAAAATTTGTTTGGCATTTAAAAGCTCACTTTCTAATATTAAAAACAATAACCTAAGGGCTGAATCATGTTCAACAGAATAGGGTTGCCTGCCAAATGATGTCAAGAGTGTATTTCAGAACACTATGGTGTCCCTCTGGTGATGGGGGGAGAAAGGGACTTGATGGGAACAGATTCCAGTTTCTCTTTAGCTGATTAGCAGTCTTCTCTTTAACGCTTTGGCTTAGGGAGTCGGATTTTCCTGGTACAGGGTCCAGTGCCAGCCACGACGCTCCAGGAACCATCAGCACGAAAGGATTAAAGTGTTTGAAAAGACCCTCTGAGTCCAAATTTTAGGTCTTTTTCTCTGCCCATTCCCTCTCCCCCTTGTCTTTTCTTTTCCTTGTCTTTTTTTTTTCTTTTCTCTTTTTTTTTGGCTGGTTATCTGCCTTGTCTGATCCGGTGCCCCGAAGAGAGGTAGCATGGCTAGAGGCCAGGGTCTGCCGGCGCCCCCCTTCCCCGGCCCGGCCCCGGGCTGCAGGTGGTGGGCTGCTCGGTGGGGGGGATCGGATCGCGAGGCGGGCACTCCTGTGTGCCAAGTCCCAGACCTCGGCCGCACCCGCACCGCTGCAGCAGCTTGCAAAAATAATTATCATGTCAAATAATATTTTCAACTCCTGACCTTCACCCCTCTGCTACCCCCTTCCCCTAGAGCAAACAGATTATGTGAGTGTGCTCTATCGAAAGAAAATTTTTTTCTCAAGGCTTCCTAAAATGGCTGATGGTTTCTGAGCCGAGAATTGAACTCCTCAGTGTAGGTCCCATTTTTCTATTTCAAAACAAAACAAAACCAGGCTTGATAAGCGGCCCCGCGTGAGGCACAGCAAATGAAACCAGTCAGTTTGTAGTTCTACTCCCATGTTTGAGTTTGTAGACTGAGCTGTACAAAGGCTTCAGGCTTATCTGATAGGATCTCCCTCCAGGGACCTAGTAGCTACTAACCGCTTTCCAGGAGAGCGAATGCAGAGGGCTCCTGCGGGCGTCCACATGGAAGGGTTTCGGATTGTAGCTTATGCTTCAGAGTTTGTTTACAGCGTGAGCATTTAGGTAGGTGTTCAGCTACATCTCGGCTCACAGGACAGCATGGTAGTGTTCCAGAGAAGAGATGGCTCCCTTCTGCCTAACTTAGCCTAGTCGGTTGCAGGGCAGTTAAAGCCAGGTTTTCCTGACCCTTGTTGGCTGAACAGGATCCTTGTCAGTTAGGAGACCTACAGACTTCAGACTCTGTAAAGCTGAATTTTTTCCCTGGAGCAAGGCTGTCTGAGGGGCTAAAGGCCCTGTGTAAAATGGCTCTCTGGTCGTTTTTTTCTTTTTCTCTTTCTTTCTTTCTTTCTTTCTTTCTAAAAAAATTTTTTTAATGTTTGTTTATTTTTGAAAGAGCACAGGCAGGGGAGAGGCAGAGAGAGAGAGGGAGGGAGGGAGCGAGACAGAATCCGAAGGAGTCTCCAGGCTCAGCACGGAGCCCAACGTGGGGCTCAAACGCATGAACCGCGAGATCATGACCTGAGCCAAAGTCGGACGCCCAACCGACTGAGCCGCCCAGGCACCCCTCTCTGGTCATTTTCAAGTGCAGATTTGACCATGTTAAGCCTGTTTTATTAGGAAACGAATGTTGTGTTTTTTGTTTGTTTCTTAATCCCCTGTCTCTGTGGGGTGAAAGGAACAGACTAGTGGTTTGGCGTTCAGGAGGCGGTGTGCAAGGTGGCATTTCATCAGGGCAGTCCTACAACTGCATGCCAGCAGTTTGACCACTCTGCTGGTGACCATCATATAGGAGGTCATTCTCTGTGAAGCAGAAAAGCAGTGTAAGCACAAAGAATTTGAAACACGGGCGTTAAAAAAATTACGTCTAGAAAAAGAAAAGAATAAAGAATGTAGGCTTTCAGATCGGTAGAGGGAGGTCGTGCGTGCATGTGTTTCCCCAAAGGCTTAATGAGCTACGAGTAGGATCTCTCTAGAAATGCACACCCAGGCTCATACAGCTTCTGTTTCATTTCAACAGAGGCAGAAAGGGGCCAAATACTACGAAGAGAACTATATGTAGTTCTGGCTGCCACTATAATGGTCAATGCACTTGTAAAAGCCTGGAACCTCCTTTTTTATATTTAAACTTAATCCTACTGCACTCTCTTCATACTCTATCAACAACCTAAGAGTGTAGTGGACTCTGAAGATACATGAAACTGTCCCAGGTTAGGACACAAATAATTTTTCATTAACATAAGGAAATCAGCAAACATGGGTAGAATTTTGTAAGGAGCTTGGGGGAGGGGTGGGAAGCAGGGGGGACTGATAGGCTGAAATTAAAAAGGAAAAAATAGCAGGGCACCCGGGTGGCTCAGTTGGTTAAGCGTCCAACTTCAGCTCAGGTCATGATCTCTCAGTTTGTGTGTTCGAGCCCCGCGTTGGGCTCCATGCTGACAGCCTAGAGCCTGCATCTGATTCTCTATCTCCCTCTCTCTCTGCCTTTCCTGCTCATGCTCTCTCCCTCAGAAATAAGCATTAAACACACACACACACACACACACACACACACACACGGAAAAAGCTCACCTAGCCTGTCACCCTGTCCACAAGAAGCAGGTTAGAGTCTGATGAAGTTGAAGAGAATGATTGCCTGGAAACAGCTCTGGTTGGATCATGCCTCTGCCTCTCCCCTGCTGGCAGAGAAGGGCTATAAAGCAGGGACAGAGTGAGGTGTGGCTCTGCATGAGAGTTTTAACACTGTAGATCAGTGACTTCTTCTGAACGCACCCTTTGTCCTTTCCTGGTAAAGCAAGAAGAGTGAGGAATAGCGGAGTACCACGGACACTCATGTTCCTCCCCAGAGTGTCAGTCTAGCGCTCAGCGAGTGCCCAACACAAAGCTTTGTATTTACTCTAAGATGCCCTTCTCCTTTTACGTTTTCACCTCTGTGAAATCAGGACTTGCCGTTTACAAGGGCATCGTAAAATTGGCAGCATTTTTAAATGTTACCCAAAGTAACGGTGCTTCTTACGATCAATGGTATTTTTAATTAAATGAAACTATGTATTTGTTCACTGAAGGCAAAAATGAATTAATGGCCTGGGAATGAGAACATTTATGAGAAGCTTGAATAGATTACCAAGAGGAAGACTGCAGGAAATAAGCCACTTTGTTGTTGTTGTTGTTGTTGTTGTTGTTGTTTAACCTGTTTGGCGTTCACCGAGCATTTAAATCTGTGAATTTATGTCTTCTACAAAATTTAGAAAGTTTTCGGTCATTACTTCTTCACATATTTTTTTTCTGCGCCCATCCCCTCCCCTCCTGGGACTCCAGTGATGTCAAAGTCAGACCTTCGGATACTGTCCATCAGCCACTGATGCTATATGTTCCTTTTCTTCCCTAAACTTTCTGTTCTTCAGACTGCATAAGTATCCATTTAATTTCAGGTTCATGGCCGCCTTCTTTCCTCTGGCATCCCCATGTTCCTGCTGAGCCCCTTCAGTGAATTTTTTATTTCAGATATTTTTAGTTCAAAATTTCCACTTAGATCTCTTTCTCTGTTCAGAACATCATTCTCTCTTACCATTTTTACCTTTACTCCTTGGAATATAGTCACAGTAGCTGCTTTGAAAGTCATTGATAATTCCCCAAGTCTGGGTTGTTTTTTCCCATGAGAGTGGGTCACATTTTCCTGGGTGCGTGTGTGTGTGTGTGTGTGTGTGTGTTTGCAGGGGTGGGGTGGGGGGTATATCAAGTAATTTAGGACTATATCCTGGACATTTGGAGTGTTACGTTGTGTCTGCTTTGGATCCTATTGTATAATCCTCTGGAGAATGTTAAGATTTTTGTTTTCAATAGGCAGCCGTCCTGGTTAAGTTCAGACTGGAAGTTCTGTCTCCTGTGGGTAGATATTCAAGTGTCCGCTCAATTTTCAAAGGTTTTTTTTATGCGGCTCTCGCTCTGTCCCACACATATGCCACCCAGCTCCCCAGGGGTTAGTCTGAGATGGCAGTGGTCTTTTACTTTTTTAAGTTGAAATATTGGTTGACATATAATGTTATATTAGTTTCACGTGTACAATGTGGTGATCAGCCGTTTTATCCACCTATCCATTATAGCAGAATAAGGGTAGTTACCATCTATTACCATACAATATTTTTATAACATTCTGGACTGTATTCCCTTTGCTGTACTTTTCATCTCTGTGACTTATTTATTTTATAACTGGGATTCTGTATCCTCTTAGTCTCCTTCACCGTTTTGCTCATCCTCCCAACCTCCCTTTGCTCCGGCAGCCACGAGTTCATTCTCCGTATTTATGAGTCTGTTTCTGTTTTTGGTTTGATCTCTTGTTTTGTTTTTTAGGTTCCATATCTGTGACATCATATGGTATTTGTCTTTTTCTCTTTGACTTATTTCAGGTAGTATAATACCTTCTAGGTCCGTGCATGTTGTAGGAGGAGAGACTTCATTTTTTGTGGCTGAGTAGTGTTCCATTGTATATACACACTACGTCTTTATCCATCCACCAACAGACACTTAAGTTGCTTCCGTATCTTGGCTCTTGTAAATAATGCTGCAGTGAACATGGGGATGCCATGCATCTTTTCAAATTAGTGGTCTTGTTTTCTTTGGGTAAATAACCAGTGATGGAATTT